GTGTACAGGAATTCAAAGTTGGCAGGCAGATGCCAATTATGTTGTGGATGAAGGCAGATTTGACAGCTTGCATAATTTTATGCATTTACAAATTAACTCTAAAATTGAGCTTTTGTAGTAGCTGCTGCACAAGTTTTTGTTCGTTATATTTAATTTAGTATTTATATCTAGTATTTTAAGGCTTTAGAAACTCTTCCCACACTCTTGCAATGTCCTAAACTCTTAAACCTACGTCATTTTAACTAAATATGTATGTACTGTACAGTACTGCAACATTTTACTCACCAGCTCTGCTGAACAGCAGCTTGGTTCTGGTCCGGCTCGGCAGACCTAACCTGTCGGTTCTGGTCAGCTTTCTGCAGCCCTTGAGCACCAAAATGCTTTCGGAGGGAGCCGGACCTTCGGATGACCAGCACGGGACCAGATGGTGGTCTGGTCAAGTACAAATCCAGATGAAAAAAGTCCTGGTGGGCTCTGGAGAGAACGCCTAACCTCCGGGTGGTGCCTCCCTTCTTGGAAGATCTCGTGGGCCGGCGGGCAGCACTCAGATTCACCGATGAGTCTGGAGGTCTGGTTTTGGTCTGGTTCCCTGTCGGTTCCATGCAGCTCTCTGCATCTGCTGGGCGCCAAAGTTACTATGAATAAGGACCAAACTTTTTTGTATCGAATCAAAACTTTCCCTCCATTTCAGCAGAAGGCAACAGCTGGAAGCACTGTTGCTTCTGGGTGGGTCACTGTTGGCTTCTGGGAATTGCAGTCTTTTTTGAGTAGCGATAGTGTAGACTTATTGAGAGAAAACTACAAAATAGTGGCACCTATTTTGTTTGTCGTTAACGTTTTACTGTATCCCGTACTATCCCAATCACATGAATAATATTAAAGTTGACAATCATGTGTCGTGTACATTTTTTTTTCTTGTGTACAATCTTACTTTGGAAAACCGCAATAGAGCTAGTCCGCAAAAGTCGAACCGTGAAGTAGCGAGGGACTACTGTACTCTCAAACCTGGTTTTCGTCCATTATATCTCCAACCCACAACAGTGTAGCATCCTGAAAGAGTTGTTTTACCCTACTCGCCAGACTGTTAATCCCTGCTGTACTGCATGCTCTGAAATGTTTGCAGTGAATCTTTCCATTTGTGCACAGCGGACTTGGAAATAAAACAACACTGCTGTGAAATCGGACAAAGAGTTACTATAGTAACAGGGTTCACCATAACAACCCACCTACTATCAGGTTTTGTCATTATGTCATAAAAATGAATAGAAGATTTTGACAAGAAGTGGGTTCAGACATACAGAAATAGTTTTCTGCATTTTACTGAAAGTCAAAATGTAATTAAAGATTAAATTACTTTATAACAGTGGTTCCCAACCGTGGTCCCTGAGGAACACCATCTTGCATGTTTTAGCTCTTTCCCTGCTTTGGCACACCTGATTTGAATAATTCAGTGATTAACAGGCTTCGGCAGAACTTGAAGTAATTAAATAATTGAATCAGGTGTGTTGAAGCAGGGAAGCAGCTAAAACATGCAGGATGGTGTTCCTCAGGGACCAGGGTTGGGAACCGCTGCTTTATAACAAAATAGTGAATTTATTTAGAAAATAAAAATCCTGCCAGTTGTATTTGGTAAACCTAAGCTACAGTATGTGTGCTGAAATGTGACGTAATATTTTATGTCTTGCAGGTCTACAGGAACCACGGTGTTCAAACGGGCTGTGGGGTTCCAGTGTGCAAACTGAAGGCAAAGGTCCAGTCTGCAACTTCCTGCTTCAAACAAAGTTTTATACCTGAGAGGAGTCGACCCTTCTGATTTACGCATGAGCATGAAAAACTCACTCCTGGTCAATCAAAAGACCTGAGAGGTTTTCACTCTTCGACCATGGTGGACCAGCGCACAGTGATTCTGCTTCCTGCTTTGTGTGAGACAGCGTGTGCCATGGGTCCACTGATGGCGCGAGAACTTTCTGAGGAGCACCGTTTGTTGGTTAACACAGCAAAAACTCCACATTGGTGCAACTGTGACCAAAGATGGCACAAGAGCTCAATGCACATGAGGGGAGTGAGAAGAAAAAAAAAACTGAAAGACACAAAAAAAAATTTTATGGAACACTTCTGACCCAACTTCAACACTCGCCTTATAGGTCTTTTCTCAAGCTCATAGTTGACAGGACGTGAACTGTTTTTGGACTTTTTTCTTTTCCTTTTTGAAACTTAAACTAACACAAAAGCTTCTTTTTTTTCTATATACAAAATGACAGTGTGTATAATTCTTAAATAAAGGGTAAGGTGGTCCGAATGCACTGAGGAGAATGAGCTTTTCAAGTGCTTTCATAACCTACCAGAAACGGTTTCACTTCAAATAAACAAGTGTAACTTGGCAACTTCTTGTATAGTTAATTATTAGAGCAGGTATAATGTTTGTATGGGCGTGGGGGGGTGGGGTGGTTTGATTTTACTAGAGGAAATTTCCAATAAAACGTCTATTCCCCAAGTGGGAATTGAAATAATTCTGCAAAAAAAAGCAGCCTTTCAGAGTTACTCATATTTTCATGCATGCTGGTCACATTATTTTAGGTACAATTTTTACAAGTTTGTGAACACTGTATTTGAGTGACAAATAAAACCCTTTATCTCTGTACACATGTAGCCCTGATATTTGTCACCAGTTTTATATTCTTAACTAAAGGGATGCCATTAGATTATTTCTATGCTGGGGTTAGAATGGGAAAAAAAGAAAAAAGATCTATAGAGGATGTGATGTCTTGTCTGTCTGTGTAAAAACTGGAGGGCAGCTTTTGCTAAGGATGAGTGATCTGAATGTAAATGCTTGTAGGCTGGCTCTCTGGAAAACTACATGTACTGTGTGTATTGGCTGTAAGGTGTAGGCATCTTTACACTGTTAAACTGTTTGTAATCATTTTTAGCAGTGTGTCACTTGGGTTTCCTAATGGCTGCTGTGGTGTTTAAAAAAAAAAAAGAAAGAAAATCGGGGCATTGTTCTTTAGATTTTCTTTTTGCTTTTTGCAGAAGTACTTCCTTAATTTAAAATCTCCTCACGTTAAGGTCACAAAACCATTGTTTGATTGTAGCTCTAAATAGCATAATGTATGACAAAACACTGGATGGTCAAAACCAATAATTTAACCATTAAATAAATTGTGTTTAACTCTGAAACTGTGTGATCTCTTTTAGGCTTGAGAGTCGGCAGATGCAGTGTCAAATAAAATTGTTTTTACTGGCTCACTGGAAAGATTTGACTTCACATTAGTGTTTTATCTTTGTATTGGTTTTCATTAGAGGCCCATGTAGTTCAGGTGTGGTGTTTTACTGATGCAAGGGCTCGGTACGCTGGTGCCTATGCTGTGGACATGAAACTATGTAATATGTTTCTTTGTTGTTGTTTTTGGGTGGGGTTAAAATGAAGTAAAATAAGGTACAAAATCATATCCCCTTCGGCTACTATGTCAATCTGAGGGGAGAGGATCTTTTGATATGGTTGAAACCTCAATTTTTTTGTCAATTTTGTTGATGCGTTTTCACCTGAGCAGATTTTTTGATGTACAATTCTTACTAACAGAGTGAAGCCATTGAAATGTAACTATTCTAGCACTTTGGTTATTCAAGGTCTTTTTGAGGCTATATAGGAGAAACAAAGCCACCACAAATGTTTCGGACATCTTAAAAAAAAAAAAAAAAAAATCAACCAAAAAAATGAAAGAAAAAATAATAATAAAATAAAATGCAATGATTTCGGAGTACGGTTGTTTTTGTTCTCGTCCTTGTGTCCAAGAACTTTTTTTTTTCTTTTTTTTTGTAATAAATGCAGCTTTTCAGTCTGAGTCATGGGCTTTTTCCATCTAAGCATTAAATGGCAAAACTCACGGTGCCCTTTAACTTTTATCCTTGGACTGATTTTCCAAAATCATAGCTGTGTTTTAGCAATGCTGACAAATTAATGGTTCTGGACATTTGTACATACATCCAATTGATGTGGTTTTTGAAAAGAAACTGTCCAGATGACCTGACTGAAAATTGTTGGATTGTATACCTGGATTATTGAGCATGGACTTTGTTGATGTGGCTTTTGATAACAAATATGCAAACTGTTAAGACTAACATTTAGGTATTATTCAAGTACATAATGAAAATGGTGGCACTGTCAAGCAAGGTAGGACATACCGTAATTTCCAGACTATAAGCCACTACTTTTTTCACATGCTTTGAACCCCGCGGCTTATACAGTGCTGCGGCTAATTTATGGATTTTGGTTTTTTGATGGGCTAACGAGCTTCCTGCCACCAAAACATTTAGCCTCATCAAAGCCCAGCGCTCAGATAGCTGCCTAATGCACATCTCTCCTGGAGGTGGGTCCTCGTGACTCAATGAGACTACCTGTATAAATAAAAGTTTTTTAAAAATTTTAAAAATCACCGATGAAATTACCAAACATGTCACAGTGGACCAATGAAATGAGGAGTGAGGGAGAGAACGGGGAGGGGGAACTAGAGCCCCTCCCTGGAGGCACAACAAATTATTCGCAGCCACTCAATATCAGTGTGAATCGTGTATGAAAGTGACACTCGAAGCTCGGCGGGAGGCTTGGATGACCAGTGGCGAGAAATAGTTTACCAAAACTGGCAGCATGCAAAGAGCAACTGCTCCAGTCTGCCAGTGGATGCTGACAGAGGAGCAGTTTAAAAAAAATCCTCTGCAGGAGGAAGATGAAGATAGTGATCAATGACATCCTGGTAGGCTACTGTATTTCTTTTTTTTAAACCAGCCTTATTAACAGCACTGTTAAAATAAAAAAAGATATATACGTATAT